CTTGTTGTCAATTATATTTTTTTAAAATACACCTTTATATATATATATATATATATATATATATGAGCCGAACACGAACGAATAAATCTTTGTTCGTGTTGTTCGTGTTTGGCTCATTAACTTAGCGAATGAGCCGAACATGAGCTTCTTAATGAGTCGAACGCAAGCTATTTGCGAACAACGACCCGTTTTGGCAGCCCTAAGCAGAAATGTCTTCTGGTAATCTCTCAATCTCAATGATCAGTCGTCACCAATCTTCTTTTTCCGATTTTAACAAATTTGATTTTAAAACCCTAACATCATAAAAACAAGATTTGATTCAAACTGAAATAAGATTAAATCAAACATTTGAAGTAAGATTGAATATTTTAGGAAATTAATTAAATTGTCAAATAATTATCAAATCTTATATGTTTATAGTCAAAACGAGCACTCTCAAACGATTCTCAAATCTTATATGTTTACAATCAAAATGAATATTTTAATAAGAGAAATCTTAAAAGTTTAAAGTTAGTTAATTTTGATATTATTAATAAATTAAGAAGCTAAATAAGGATTCAATGATTAATGAAGAACATGGGGTGTCTAATACAATATTTGAGACTTTAGTCAAAATAGTAAAAATTTCGCTCTTGAAAACTATAAATGGAATTTCATTCTCGCATGAAAGTGATCAATACTCGAAATAAGAAATATATCGGATATATGAATAGCTCTAGGGCTTTACCTAATGCCCAAGTGCCCAACACTAACAACCACTAGTAAAAGCCACAATCTTTCGATGTTTATCAACTAATCAACGTTATATAATTATTGCCGTTCAATTATTAATTCGAACATCGACCTGCTAATATATCATCCAATCACAATCACTGAGTTATCGTTAAAGTCAATCGATGATTTTCTTTACCCCTGCTACAATTATAATTACGAGATATTGAATTAATTTTTAGGGCATATAATTCCTTAAATTTTTTTCTTCCTTTATTAAAATGAGAAGCAAATATGTTTAATCTCAATATATATAATTGCTTTCTATTTATAATAATATTATTCAAACTTAAGAAGAAAAAAAAAAACTTTAAACTTTTACTTTAAATAATTTAATAAATCCATTATAACTCCATTTTCTTAATTAACACAATAAAACAAAAATAGATATTTAATGATTCGTGTTAATTAATTTTTTGAAAGTCATTTAAATTACAAGTGTTAGTTTAACAAAAATAAATATTTATCATTTTGGACATGAATATCCCTTTATAATTTGTCTTACTTAATAAAATTTATTTAAATTTAACTTATATATCATTTTGGCATTTACACGCACACCCTTCAATTCTTATATAATTACATATCAATTATTCAAATCTTTATATTTATAAATATAACACTCAAATTTATAATTTCATATTAAAAAAAGTTATATTACCTAAAATTTAAAAAAAAAAAGATACAATTTTTCAAGCAATTTATAACAATAAATTTTTTAAGATGTTAGATATATAAATACACAAGAATTTTATGATATTTATGGAAATTTCTAAAAATAATAATCTAATAAGTTAAAACTAATTAATAAGTCAAAATTCTTCATCCATCACAAGATTCTCAATGGATGGAGAGGCCATAAATGTAATCAAATAATCTATTCAAACTATTTGAATTTGACTATTTTACGTCTAAAAATCAAAAGGCAGACTTCCCATTCACATATCCCCATGTATAAAGTGAAAAAACCTTTTTTTTATATATATAGATTACTTAATTCACTAATATTTTATACATATTCTTCGCCCAAGCTTCTTGCTTTCTAGATGACGAGATGAGAGGTATAATTATTCAGTCACGCGCATCCAATCAAAAGGCGCAAACTTTTTTTCAACATCTCTGCAAAAGGTCTCTCCTTGACTTGAGAGTTCGGCTTATTGTTTCGTCTTCTTTAATGATTTAATGGCTGGTTAACAGTGAGCTAAAGAATCCGCTCTCCGACTTGCTTTCTAGCTCTATTGGGATTCTTAAAGCTTTTCAGAGTGAAAGGTCTGGTTTTTACTATTATTTCTTGCGCTGCGCTTTATTTTACTTTAATTATCTGGTTTTCCTTCCAGTTGCTGTTTAGATTCTTGTTTTTGCGCAAAAATTTGGTGGTTTCATTTGTCTGTACTGATCTATTCTGCTCAGTTTTTTTCTTGAGATTCGTCTGTTTGTTAAGGTTTTAATCTTTCCAGGTGATAAAAATTAAATCTTGGAGTTAGTTTCCTATGAAGATTATTAGAAATCAGTCATTAGGTTTCCTGGATTTCTCAGTTTGCTCAAGATTATATGTCCTTTTTGTTTCCAAGTTATAATTTTGTTATTAAAGCGAAATTTCCACCCTTTTTTAAAGTAATTATTCGCTTGACTTTTTGGATTTTATAGGTCCAACTGTGCTCTTTCATGGAATCCTGCAAACCCCTTTCCCAAACACTTAGTTCTCTCACCGCCATGGATGCAACTAACCCGCTCAGAAATAAGCCCCTCTTCACCACCTCTGAAAAACCTAGTTCCATTCCTGAACCTATTACTGAAGGATTCATCGGCTCTCTCGAAATCCTGGTTCACCAAGCAAGAGACATCCACAACATCTGCATCTACCAAAACCAGGACGTTTATGCCAAACTCTGTCTCACCAGTGACCCAGAGGCCTCCATCTCAACCAAGACCATCAATGGAGGTGGGAGATACCCAATCTTCAACGAGAGTCTGAAGCTCGGCGTTCGAACCATCGATAGCTCTCTCAAATGTGAGATTTGGATGCTCAGCAGGGTTAAGAATTACCTTGAAGACCAGCTCCTTGGCTTTGCTCTTGTCCCCCTTTCCCAAATTGTTCTCAACAATGGCAAACTTGAAATGGAATTCTCACTCTCCTCCACAGATCTCTTCCATTCTCCAGCCGGCTTCGTGTCGCTGACGATTTCTTACACCGGCTCAACTCCTGAACTCATGGCCATTGCATCAAATGCTGAAGAAGCCGCACCGGGGGATGCAGCGAACGATAACTCTATCTCTTCTGAATATGAAAAAATGGAGTTCCCTGACTTAGCTGTTGTTTCTGAAAACAAGATGATGATTTCAGAGTACTTTGGGATTCCATGCACCAATTCAGAGCCTCAGAATGGAGAATGCCATGTTGATTGCTCTGATAATGATGCTGAAGATCGAAATGTCGATTTTTTCTCGACCGAAAACAGTCATATCACCATTGGAGATGAGAACAACAGCTCTCCTATATGCAGTGGTTCAGCTGATGTGCCTGCTGCTGCTTTAGATCCATCTGCAATTACTGATCCTCCAATTCAGAAAAGTAATAACGCTGAAGTTACAGATAGTGATACCAGTTCATCTGCTGAAGCGCCAGACAAGGCATTTGTTCTTCCTCTTATCAACATAAATCTTGAGCCCGAGCAGCCGGTCGTGCAGCAGGAGATAGTTGACATGTACATGAAGAGCATGCAGCAGTTTACAGAAGCTTTAGCAAAGATGAAGCTTCCTATGGACTTGGAGAAGAGCCGTAATGGCAGCAGTGATGGTGATGGTGATGATGCTAACTCTGACAAGAAGATGCAGGCTTCGGAAAAGACGAGTACTCCTCGAGTTTTCTATGGAAGCAGAGCTTTCTTCTGAAACTCGATCAAATTCGCGATCTTGATAAGGTAGTAATTGAACTTGTTAAGTGACTTTATGTTTTTTTTTTTATTATGTTGAATGGATTATGATATGGTAGGCTGAGTATTAGCTCTTTATGTTGCTATAATGTATCTGTCGTTTCATGCACTGTTTACTTTAAAACATGGTATGAATGCAATATGAAATAACTTCTTTAACTTAATTTTATTATTATTTTGTTTTAATTTTCATGTTATATATAAGTTGATTAGTTGGCCATAAAATATCAATGTTTGATGTTTTGTAAGTGAAATATGTGTTTTTCATCATGCACATTTTCTTATATGTTAAGCTTCATTCTTGTATGTTATATTTGTATGTTGATAGTAGAAATGATGAATGGGTTGTAATGAGATCAAATTTAACTTCTAGAGCACATGAAATCTTGGGATTAATACATAAAATAATTGAAAAAGAAGATTTTTGATTGAGTGGTTTTTGCACTTGGTCTCTTGGGCTCAAGATTGGCACGTTGAATGAGCATAATCATTTTCTACTTTGATGTGTGTTTTACATCAAAACATGGGTCTACGGTTGGATTAGGACGTGTGTCTCACTAGCTTGGGTCTACCCGATTATGCTATTCGATTCGGTGACTTTAAATAATAAATATTATGAGTTTTAACATCAAAACCCTCTGAATTATTGAAATTTCATTTTTGGGCAAAACATGAGTTGAAAAAAGAAGTATGTGCAAGGCCAATAGAGCGGTTAATAGAGATTTTTCTTTTTAATTAGGAGACTCAAGTTCGAAGCACATTCTAACTAATAAAAGAATGATCTTCATGCATCTTCAACTTGCTCTAAGTTTCCAATCATCTTCTCCGCTTCGCATCTCTCGGTTAGGTATAAGGTTTCCATTGCATAAGAGATTTTATATTAGTTTGATACGTATATGTAATGACCATTCTACCCTTATGTAATATTACAAGTTTGCCACTCCTCTTCTTATATAAGCAGCCTAGTATTATGCTTATATGATGTATTATAGGATTTTTTTTTTGTTCTCATTTTTTAGGTCCTCACTCACCCAAAAGTCCATAGCTTGCTTGTGTGGTAAATGCAAGTTCTTTTTGGGGCCTTTACATGTTTATCACCCAAATCCTATGTATTTACATTGCCTAACACCTAAATTATGTTTTTTTTTCATTTGTACCCCCGAATTTTTCATATCACGTAATAAATACACTATTTTAACTTTTTAAAAATGAAATGGACGTTTTCATGCATAGATAAGTTGGCATATATGTAAAAAATTGAAACTTGGGGGTTTGATATGTAAATACATAGGAAATGAATGGCATGCATGTAAATCTATAAAATTTATAATATTTCATTTTTGGCTATAAAGTCTTTATTTTTTTTATTTGTATTATTTCATCAAATTCTAATATTTAAGTCACTAGATGGCATGTAGACCTTCTATTATACTAGTTTTTAAATTAGACTTTTGTGAAAAGTTGATAATGACTTGCTGCAAATATATATATATATATATATATATACTTTCCCA